CGATCCCCATCTCCACACGACCGGAGAACATGTCGTATAGGGGTGTGTTAGCTAGAATGTCTTTTTTTGGGGCAGCTTTATTATATACATATATATATATATGTAGGCATATGGGGGTTTCCGAAATTAGGCGTACCTTCTTGGGGTCCTTACTTATTACAAGGGAATCCTACCATTTAGGGGGTCCATTATCGGGGTCCGTGATTTTCGTAAACTCCAATTTGGTCCATCCCCCACCTGAGCCCACGCCTCCTGCACGGCAACCTGGGTGCTGTCCACGCAGACGCCAAGCCCCGCGCAGGTTTCAACCGTATCTTTCAGGGTGAGGCCCTTCTGCAACCTACACTGAACTTGGAAGAACCCTTGCAAAAGCTCTTTTTGTCGCGGTTCCTTAGGGATTCTGGCAACCAATATATTGAAGAAAATGAACTCCAAGTACCCCTAAGCAACATGTCGCGGAAGATTGCCGATGCCATTTCCGGCGTCGGGCAGTCCTCTCTCTTGGAGTCCTTGGCGATGGATTGATGGAACCCATTGACAGCCTCCCGCGACTCCAAGGCAACCTGCAGGAATGAAAGCCTTGGTATCCCAGGAACCCTATTATATTACTGCTACGACTACAATTTCTACTTTTTCTGCTATTACTACGATTTCTACTGTCGCCATAACAAGGGCCCCCTTTTGCGGGTTGCATGAGTTGGTTACTGTCCAAGGGAACCTTGAACCAAAAAAAGGAAGAAAAGGGGTACCAGTGGGCTACCAAGGAGCGATTGCGGGCATTCTTCCCCCTGTCCGTCACACGCAAGGGAGACCTGAAGGCAGTCGAAGACAAACACGAAGATTATAGCCACCTGCTTGGCCGCAAGGCGGGTCATCGTTTGCGCGCAAAAAAAAGGTTCAGAATCGAACTCCCCACCTCTCTTTGGGTGCTTGAGAAGGCCAGGGTCTGCAGAGGGCGTGTTCAGGCAAGCCCTGGGTGCTGACGTGAATCATGCCCAGCAACTGATATTAATACATACACCCCTACTCGGTCCCTAAACCCTAAACCCTAAACCCTAAACAACAAATCCCTAATTCCTACACTTTACTCGGCTCTCACCATCGTCACAGAAGTTGGCAACGCATTGCCGCACTACGTTGGCCTGAAGAACTCGAAGGCTCGACAAACCCTAAACCCTAGCCAAAGGTGTTTAGGGTTTAGGGTGAGCAGAAAGGGGGTACTAGAATCCCCTACAAGTAACCCGAAAAGGAACTACGTTGGAGCCTTCAGATAACCGCAAAAACCCTTTCCAGCAAGTTCTTTCGTGGCTGCCATGCTTGGAGGATCAGGGGTACTGATATTTGGGATTATAGACTGGGTATCTTTGAAGTTATAACTGCTGAAACAACGCACTTAACAGTCTCCTCCTCGACTTCTGCGTATCCATGAACCTGTGCTGAAAACAGCTCCCGGCTGACGGTAGCCCCTAAACCCTACACCCTAAACCCTAAACCCTGAACACCAAACCCTAAACCCGAAACCCCAAACCCGAAACCCTAAACCCCAAACCCCAAACCCAGGGGCCCTGCCAGTTTCGGCTCTCACTTGCAGTGCAGCCCTGCAAGCATGGTGTGTAGGGTTTAGGGTTTAGGGTTTAGGGTTTTTTTGCGGGTGGGTTTAGGGTTTAGGGTTTACGGTCAGATTCTCTCCATGGAGCCGCTGAAAACTTCTGTTTCCCCCGGGCCTTACACTAGACAGAAAAGAGTGTTTTTGGAATAAGAAGGGTTTAGGGTTTAGGGTTTAGGGTTTAGGGCTTAGGGCTTAGGGTGACCGCAGCGAAGCCTTGTTTATGGACTCCCGTGACCCCGAATTCGGGCTTCATCCCGAAACCATGACATACTACTAAGTGCTTAAGAACCCCGAAAAGTATTCTTCCTTATTAAGGGCATTATAGGGATTATTGTTTTTGCTCATTCTTCTGGGGTTCTTAAACGCAAATAGCATAGAGCCACGACGGAACAACGGAGAGCCCACTGGCGTTAGGCTTAGTTGCTGAGTTCTTATAAGCCCCCCCAAAAGTGTACACTTTCAGTTCTACAGCGGATTATGGTATCCCAAAAAGTGTAAAGTGTGCTCAGCTACTAAGTAGGAGAGGTTTGTTGCAGCTGTGCCTAGAGAGGTTTGGTATGGGCGTTGAAGAGGAGTGGCAGAGAAGTACGGGAGCCAAGTGGGATCTTGATGTTGGGGGCTTTTCATTCAGGACCCAGTTGAAAGCATTCTAGACTTGTGTTCAACCGTTGCATCAGGGGCACCGGTTCTGATCACTCCCACGCGCACGGTCGGAAACTACACCAGGAACCCTGGCCAAGTTATAGTCGCCTATCTGCTGAGGAATACGAACAGTCGAGTGCTGCAGGTTCGTCAGAGTGGGAAAAAGAGGTTGCAGACGGCGTTGCGCCCTGGCCGAAAATGAAAGGTGGCCTGGTCGGTGTCCGAGCTACCTTGGCATGCAGGCGGCCGTCTCATGTGTAGTGCCTTCTTGCATACAGACAGACAGACACACACAGACACACACGGACGGATACACACACACACACACACACACACTTACTTTAGGGTTTAGGGTTTAGGGTTTAGGGTCTAGGGTATTCTTATCAACACTTGCGAAGATCGTAGGCTTGGGTTGCTAAAGTATACCTAAACAACCCCCCCCAAAGCAGACGTACTAGCCTTTTTTTGGTTTGGGCGACTGAAACCCTCAACCCTAAACCCCTAAAAAACCTTGAAAATATTTGTATCCTAAACCCTAAACCCTAAAACCTAAACCCTGAACCCTGAACCCCAAACCCTGTCTTGGGCACCACACTGTCACCGCTGATCTTTCCCGGGTCCTAGCGTCGCCAGGCCATACCCTCAAGGGTGGGTCCCAGTATAGAAATAGGGTTTAGGGTTTAGGGTTTAGGGTCTAGGGTCTAGGGTTTAGGGTTTCGGGCTCCAAGGATACAAATAATGCCTACATTTGGGGTCTAAAGTCCGTGAAGGACACCTACTTTGGGTTACCTGGAGCCTCAGGGCTGTGGTAGGTCCGGTCTCAGTAGGGTACCCTCTTAGTTGCTGAGTTCAGAAGCCCACTTTACGTTCTATAGGGGGATTAAAGTATCCCAAAAAGTGCAAAGTACTCACTCAACTACTCAGCCCTCTAATCTAGACCCAAATCTTTTTTCAATGCTTAGGGTTTATAGGGTTTACAGGGTTTGAAGGTTTATAGGGTTTACAGAGCTTCAAAGGGTTTATAGGGTTTTATAGGGTTGAGGGTTTATGGGGAATTTATAGGGCCCCTTTTATAGGGTGTTATAGGGTTTATAGGATTTGCTAGGTCCCAATAGGGTTTATAGGGCGTAGGGCTCTTAGGGGTATATATGGGGGGGGGGGGGGGGGGGGGGTATAGGGTTTGCAGGGTCCAGGGTTTTTTCTAGGTTTATAGGGGTTTATGGGGTTTGATACGGGTTTATGGGGTTCAGAGTTTACAGGGTTTATAATAGGGTTTCGGGTTTAATAGGATTTATAGGGCTGTGTAGGTAGGGTGTGTAACTTGTAATTATTGTTATAGGGTTTAGGGTTCAGAGTAAACATCGAAACAGAATAAATCAGCGAAAGGGAATAAGGGCCCAAGTGGGTCCGAGTACGGGACTTGGACGATGGTGGAAGGGCCTACTTACTGAGTAACGTAGGTGCCCTTAAGACTAGGAGGGTGCATGGTTCTGCCTTACCAAGGCTCAATAGCCTAAAGTAGATCTCCTTATAGACTTTAGACCCGAATGCAAGTAAGCATTATTGTAAGTAGGCATCGTAAGTAAACTTGGAGCTCCATCGGGAGAATTCTGATATTGGGCCCCAAACTTACAACCACCCCCACCCCCCAGCCACCCCTCCCTCCCCGCCACCTCCGCCCCGGTTAGGGTCTAGGGTTTAGAGTTTATAAAATGTAGGGTTTAGGGTTTAGGGTTTCGGGTTTAGGGTTTAGGGCCGTGAAGGCTCCTGGTAGTAGCCGTTGTCCAGAAGCTCCGCCGTCTCCTCCCCAGCGTGACGAGCCGACAATTGTAGGGTTTAGGGTTTTTATAGGGTTTATGGGGTTTGTAGGGTTTATAGGGCCTTACAGGGTTTATGGGTTTAATGGGGTTTATAGGGTTTAGAGAGTTTCTACAGGGTTTTAAGAATTACCCCTCCTCAATCCCGAGGCGGAAGCTCGGGCGTGAATCTGTGGATCCACTTGCCTGGGACAGCAATCCTCCCTCCGTACCTTACTTGTAACCAATTAGAGCTGTACTTATAACCCAACAAATATAACTATATTAGGGCACTTAAGGGGCTTATAAGTACAGTTATAAGTACAGTTATAAGTACAGCTATAAGTACAGTTATAAGTACAGTTATAAGTGCAGTTATAATTTATAATTGGTGAATAAGTACCATGAACCTTCAAGTATCTGAACACCCCGAGTCCAAGGTCCTCCGTCGGGCGCATGAAAAAGCGGGAGGTACGGGACCTGCCGGCAGACACATAAAGCATGCCTGCATGGTCATCAGGGCCGGATGACTGGAGGGCCTAAACACCCGAAACCCTAAACCCTACTAAACCCTAAACCCTAAACCCTAAACCTGAGTCCAGGAAGTTCACTCAACTTCCAGCCGTTTTTTGCTACGCGTGCGCACGCCAAAAACACCCTCCAAGATGGTCCAGGAGAACTGAGAAGGAAAACCTCCAACTCCAGTCAGGGCTTCGTAGCATCAGCTAAGGCCTGTTCCCGGCCCTGGCGCGGGTCTTGCGGCCTAAACTAGCTTGGGATAGACATGGCGGGATACGGATACTGTACATTCTCAATTCCCCCTATATGATTCACCAACGACTTGCTCATGATATAGTCTGAATCTGTGAAGGGCGGGGATAGGCCTCTCCTCTGTCTATACACACCGCACAGCTGCCCGAGTCTCTCAGCGCTTGGCGTCCGCCATGATCGGCTTAGAGAGCATCCACGAGGCCTCCCACCTGAAGAGCCTTCTTGTTCAGGATGTTCCTGAGGGAGAGGTCCACGCCGTGGCTGGGAGCGTCGAGCTTCTCAGGGTCGATGTAACCCCACTCCAACTTGAATCCGCTGATAAGGTTTCCGTCCACTTCCTCGATCAACTTGATGCTGTCCGTCTCGCACTTCACCTTCATCTTCTCGATAATCTTCTCCTTCTGCGCCTCCGACAAGCGCACAGCAGACGTCACCTGAGCAGCTTCCCACCCCGTCGCGTGCACGCAAGGAGAACATGGAAGAACCTCTACAAAGCCTCGACCCCGACAACAATACCCGCCCCCAACCCTCCCCACTCCCCACCTTCACCGGGGCAACGGACTCCTTGAAGTAGGCGCTCTGGACGTACTCGAGGCAAATGGCCTTCAAGCCCTTGAGACGCATCTTCTTGGCCAGGAACTTGACGAACTTGGGCGTCACTGTGGACTTCAGAGGCTTCACCTTGCAATCGCTTCGAAAGGGACCCAACCGCAAGCGTTGGCTCCTAAATCAAAAACCCACACCTCGAGACCTGTGACGTTCTGCGGCCACCTACCCTCCCGCCAACCACGAAACCCTCCAACGTGCGCGCCGGTGCCCTCCAATGCACCCCTAAACCCTAAAAGCCTACATAAGACCCTACCCTAAAACTCCAAAACTCTAAAACCCTAAAACCCGTTTACATCCTTAACCTTCTAAGAACCCATGAAGGAGCGGGCAAGGATGGGAAGCACTGCTTAAGAGTCTTAGGGTGGAGCGGGTCGAAAGCTGCCCAAGTTCGCCTCACGATGACTACTAGAAAGCAAAAAAAGGGGTCTCATCCCCCGTACACCTCCATGCCTTTTTAGGCTTTATAGGGCTTTAGGGTTTTAGGGTTCGGTTTTTCAGGGTTTTAGGGATTGCAGTTTTAGGGTTTTTAGGGCTTTATAGGGTTTTTAGGGTTTTTAGGGTGTTATAGGGCTTTTTCGGGTTTTTAGGGTTTTAGGGTGTTATAGGGTTATTGTTCCCTTCTCTGCCCGGGCGCCATGTCAAGGATCTTCTCCGCGCGCTCGACCTCGGTGAGGTTGAAGTCGTTCTGCACCAGGCTGAGCTCCTTTGAAGGAAGGCTTCGTGCGCTTGGGGAGGGCTTTTTTGTGTGGCGGGATTCATCGGTTCAGGGCCCTATAAACCCTAAACCCTAAACCCTTCATGGGTTTTTTTGTGGCGGGATGATGGGTTCAGGGCTTCTAGGGTTGAGGGGGCTGAGGATACTTGTTCTTTCTCTTGCTTTCTGACGACTTAGAACGCCTAAGAGTCGGGGCTAGTAGTAGTAGTAGTAGTAGTAGTAGTAGTAGTAGTAGTAGTAGTAGTAGTAGTAGCAGTAGTAGTAGTAGTAGTAGTAGTAGTAGTAGTAGTAGTAGTAGTAGTAGTCGCAGTAGTAGCCTTATACAAGTGCAAGGCCCGGCCATCCTGACAACACTCTTGCGCATGCGCGTTTCAGCCACAGACGCATGCCCAATGGGTCTGCCGTTTTGAAGTACAGGCCCTAGGAATTAAGCCCTATATGAGCCCTAAGCCCTAAACCCTTTTTGAACCCTAAACCCTGAGCCCTAAAGCCGAGCACGTCCTCGAAGATGGTCTCATCCTCGTAGAAGGACTTGATCTTGAGGATGTCCGCCATCACCGCCTCGGCTGTCCCGACTTGGAGGTTGCGAGCCAGCGCATTGCAACAGAAAGGAGCCCTTACAACCCTCTGAAAAATATTCCGGAACATGATCCTCTTAAACCTAATAAGGGAAAACATACACAATGTCCCAAGGGACTAGAAATGACTAGAACCCAAATAGTAGGCAAAAGGATACCACTGTTCTTCCAGGAAAAGGACCCCGATAGATGAACCGGACTAGCCCAGAATCCACAGCTTAGAGCTTCATTAAGGCGGCATATACCAAAGTGCGTACATCTGCAGGTATCCACGCATGCATGCACCCAATCCACACATTTAGCAATATCTACATGCCAGAACATAGCATAACATAAGTATAGCACTACATAAACCTACACACACTTACAACCTAACATTACATAGCATCGCAAAGCCCAATATGAACGTACTGAATATGAACGCACGAACATGAACTAAGCAAACCTCAGCGTAGCATCGCATCACGTGACTTAACATAACGCAACATGACATGGCAGAATACATATATACATATATATATATATATATATATCACAAGCATAATAACACAGGGGCACATAATGCATAACAGAACATATGACGACATACCATCCGCAACATAACGCCGCACAACCAATCAAACACATTGACATCAAAACACAACATAGCAGTATAGATGCTACTGCACAGCCAAGTACAGTTCACTACATTACGTCACGCTGCAGTACCGTGCAAGCATACATTGCAAACATCACCTACATTGCCTCCACCCTGCCCTACTTACATACCGAACACTGACGTTTGCACACATACATGTCTGCGGACGCACATGCGCGCCTTCACACGTGCATACCATGCCTTGCCCTGCCATACCACAACCATCACCACACACGAGCGTGCATGCAGGCGTGCTTGCAAGCAAACAGCGAGGAACTTCAGGCGTCGGCTGGGGGCGGGGATGTCGCTGAAAGAACCCATGCACCCCCATCACCCCCTGCGAGCCCCCAAAGACACCCTCTGCAACCCTGAGCCCGCATCCTTGAAGCCCGTTCATGCCATTGAATCAACGCCCCTATGATTGAATTCAACCCGAACTGCCCTGAACTTGGCCCTGCACCCTCCTGATAAACCTTACTTATCAATTTAATAAGGGTGCCCTTTTTGACGTTGGCGACGCTATGAGGGAACTTAGAACCCAAGAATAGGGCTAAGGGTACCACTTGCCCAACAACTTATTCATAACCCCTACCCCCCTAACCCCTAAACTTACCCAAAACCACAAAAAAAACGGTACCACTTGGACACTTGGATAGGAACTTCCACCCTATACCCTAAACCCTAAACCCTATAAACCCTAAACCCTAAACCCTAAACCCTAAACCCTAAACCCTAAACCAAGTTCATCCGACGCCCAGGCGCGGCATCCTCCTCCTTGGCTTGACCCGCTTCCCGGAGGGCCTTGGCGTAGGACACCGCCGGCCCGAAGGGCTTCCTGGGAGCAGACTGGCGCTGGGGTTTAGGGTTTAGGGTTTAGGGTTTAGGGTTTAGGGTTTAGGGTTTAGGGTTTAGGGTTTAGGGTTTAGGGCTAAGGGTACGGCATCTCAAGTCCAAGCATTCACTAGTCGAGCTGTTTTATCATCTGACGGAGAAGTACCCATCCACCCAGAGAATCCCATGACCTAAACCCTAAACTCTAAACTCTAAACCCTAAACCCCAAACCCTAAGCCCTACATTAAGCACACAGAAAGTTCACTCAAAGTTCACGCAATCCATCAACCTTAGGCTCCATACCCTAGGGCCCTAAGAACCCTCAGCTGGAGCCCGAACGTTAAACCCATAAGTTTAGGGTTTAGGGTTTAGGGTTAAGCCTTGCAGCCTCAAGCTTTGAGTCGCTCAGGGCTGTCGCCCTCAGTTCCCACCATGAAGAACGTTCGAAACCACCTTCAACACACCTCAGGGAGGGGGGTGCCGGGGGGTATATGGGGGGTGCAGTCTCCAGGCCCCCCCCCAGGAAGGTGGGGAGCGGGCAAGGGCATATGAAGAGCGGGCAAGGTCGGGTTTGTAGGGCTTAGGGCCAGCTGGAGCCGAGATTCAAGTAGGATCCATCCGCCTGGCGCTGCGTGAGGCTGCGCTGCTGGTTCGCCTGGCCTTGCTGCCTCATCTGCGATTCCAGGGCGTTTGATTAGGGCCGAGAGAGGTTCTGGGCTCTTGAGACATGAATCTGGCCACTGTTTGGGCAAAATGATTTCACGAACACTTGAAAAGTTCAAGACGTCTTGTCGAACATGGTAGTTAGTGGTAGTTCTTTCTGAATGCCTCGGGGACAATCGTTCCTGCTGAACCCTTGAACCCAAAAACCCTGACCCTAAACCCTATACCCTAAGGGTCCATGTACCTATACAGTATATACTTGGGCCTTTAAGGGGTTCCTATATAGTAGCTTTAGGGCTCAGGTATGTGCTATATAGGTACCTGGACCCGTACTGATATAAGCCCACATCGATGAAAGCAACGTGGATCGAATCAGCCGCAGAGCTCATGAGCTGGCAGGCTGTGACAGTGATCCATGATCGGGATAGGATAATGCCTAAACCCTAAACCCTTAACCCTAAACCCTATAAACCCTAAAAACTGAGAGTCAGCCGGGTTGCGCGGAGCGGCCGAACCCTGCGGAAAGAGACGGGGTGAAGGCCAACCTTCCCATGAAGCACATCACCTCGGATCCATGGAAAAAAACTATCGCAGCATACGGCCTGGCCTGGTACTACAACCGAATGGTGTTGACTGTTCTTGAGGGAACAGCAAACACACCGGTTTCGTCCGCAGAGCAACTTGCAAAATGACCGAGAAACTGCCACGGAGAGCACTGCCACTCCCATCGTCCGCGCCATGGCTGCTGATCGAAGGAACTAAGGACCGGTTGTGTGGGTTCAATGCGAGGAGGTGAGACTCCTCGAGCAACCGCGGCTTCTCCAAGGAATACCATGCAGGGCTTGGAAATAGTACCCTAAACCCTAAACCCTAAACCCGAAAACCCTAAACCCTAAGCCCTAGAAGGCATTTGAGCTTTGGCACTCCCCCACCCACCCGCCCGCCCTCACCCCAGCCCCCACAGCCGCCAGCCGAGTCAACGTCAGGCTTTGCAGCTCAAGGGCCAACTGGGCTTACCGGGTTTAGGGTTTATAGGATTTAGGGCTTAGGGTTTTGCAAGCGCGGGCAAACATGCCCAATCCATCGCTGCAGGCACGATTGTTCTCCGCTATCTGCTATTAGTGCGCTGCTGGTATACTAGGAAAGTGTCTCGGCAGCGGCCATTCCCCTGTTCCTGTTTTGCACCTTGATTTGGGTAGGGCGGAGCGGGGTAGTATGCGATCTCATGATGATGATGATATATATATATATACACATACATACATAAATATAAACAAATACACACATATACATATATATATATATATACATACATACATACATAACTTCAATAGATTCCGCAAAACCCCGTTGCTGCCCGAGGTCAGCAAAGCGCACTGTTCACCCCAGGTCACAACGCATCCGTCGGCCAGGGTAGCGGCAGGTGCTGCACCCAAAAACATCCTCCACCATCGTCCAGGAGAACTGAGACGGAAAACCTCCAACTCCAGTCAGGGCTTGTTCCTAGCATCAGCTTAGACCTGTTCCCGCCCCAGGTGTGGGTCTTATGGACTAAACTAGCATGCAACCAATTCGTGTCAACTCCTCGTATGATGCCCAAACGACTTGCTCATGTTTTAGTCTGAATCTGTGAAGGGCGGGGACAGGCCTTTCCTCTGTCTATACACACCGCACAGCTGCCCGAGTCCCTCAGCGCTTGGCGTCCGCCATGATCGGCTTAGAGAGCATCCACGAGGCCTCCCACCTGGAGAGCCTTCTTGTTCAGGATGTTCCTGAGGGAGAGGTCCACGCCGTGGCTGGGAGCGTCGAGCTTCTCAGGGTCGATGTAACCCCACTCCAACTTGAATCCGCTGATAAGGTTTCCATCCACTTCCTCGATCAACTTGATGCTGTCCGTCTCGCACTTCACCTTCATCTTCTCGATAATCTTCTCCTTCTGCGCCTCCGACAATCGCACAGCGGATGTCACCTGAGCAGCTTCCCACCCCGTCGCGTGCACGCAAGGAGAATCTGGAAGAACATGGAAGAACCTCTCTAAAGTTTCTAAAGCCTCGACCCCGACAAAAATGCCCACCCTCAACCCTCCCCACTCCCCACCTTCACCGGGGCAACGGACTCCTTGAAGTAGGCGCTCTGGACGTACTCGAGGCAAATGGCCTTCAAGCCCTTGAGACGCATCTTCTTGGCCAGGAACTTGACGAACTTGGGCGTCACCGTGGACTTCAGAGGCTTCACCTTGCAATCGCTTGCAAAGGGGCCCTTCTACTTGGGGACCAACATTGTAACCTAAAAGTTGGGGATATATAGATCAATAAATAAATATAAATATAAATATATATATAAATATAAATATATATATATATATATGCTACCATATACATATATATATATATATGTACTATATAATTACTGTAATCCCCATTATAAGGTACATGAACCATAAACCCTTCTAGGGTTCCTCCGGCCCCCAAGGCTCAACCATGCTTCCTTCCAGGAGGTCTCAAGAACCTGCGGGAGCCGTGCTTAAACTGCTATTTGCTTAAGAATACCCCCCCAAAAAACACAAAATGTTGTTCCTTATAAGGGTAATATGGGGATTAGTACCCCCCCCCCCCCAAAAAAAAAAAAATGAAAATATTCTTCCTTATAAGGGTAATACAGGTATTATTATCTTTTAATTCTTGGGGGGCTCTTAAGCAAATAGTAGTAAACCCTTGGAAAGAGAGGCAAGGACGGGCAGCCTTGCCTACAGTCAGGTGCATTTACCTCCTTCCCAGGGTACCAGCGGCTTACCAGTTTTCTTGCTCGCCTCACACGACGATGAGTATCAGGAAACCCTAAACCCTAAACCCTATACCCTAAACCCTAAACCCCTAAACCCCTCCCTGCTTTTCCCTTCTCTGCCCGGTCGCCATGTCAAGGATCTTGTCCGCGCGCTCGACCTCGGTGAGGTTGAAGTCGTTCTGCACCAGGCTGAGCTCCTTCGAAAGAAGCTTCGTGCGCTTCATGGCTTTTCTTGTGAGGGGATGATGGGTTCAGGGCCCTAAACCCTAAACCCTAAACCCGAAACCCTAAACCCTGTAGGGCTGAAGCGGCTGAGGCTCGGTGTTCTTTCTCTTGCTTTCTGTCGACTTACATGTGTAAGAGCCGGGGTTGATCTTGCACCCTCCCTAGCAGGGGCCTCCTGAATTAAGTCAACTTTGCCGGGCCATTCAGGACCGTTGTGACTGTTTAGGGTTTAGGGTTTAGGGCTCAGGGTTAGGGTTTAAGGTTTAGGGTTTAGCGTTTAGGGTTTTGGGCGGGGTCCGCAACAAAGTCATGTTTTCCGGGTGTCGTAAGAAGCTTTCATGCGGCGCGGCATTTGTGCATTTTCAACACAGATGCATCCCATCGGGCTGCCGTTTTGAAGACCCCTCAATCTCAGGACACCCTAAGCCCCTGGGGCCGCCCCTAAGCTCCTAAGCCCCTAATTAAGCCCTGGCCCCCCCCCCCCCCCCAACCCCAAACCCTATACACCCTCCCCCCCAGCACATCCTCGAAGATGGTCTCATCTTCGTAGAAGGACTTGATCTTCAGGATGTCTGCCATCACCGCCTCAGTAGTTCGTTCATCTGAGCAGGGTTTCAGGTTTAGGGTTTACAGGGCTTCGCGAAAGAAGACTATGAACTTGATCTAAGGCCTGGGCGCAGAATCTGTGATCTTTCTGAACCCTCCAAACCCCCAAAGGGTCCTAAGTACCTACATAGTAGAAAGTAGGGGTTTCTAGAATAGGAATTACTCTTATGGTTTGGGTAAGTGGCCCCTATATAGGTACTTAGGATTCTTTGGGACCCATGTCTGCCCTACGGGCACCTAGTTTTCTAAGGCCCGGGCCCTTGCATTCTTTGAACCCTACGAACCTGTACACGCCGAAGCCCTAGATACTAAACCCGTGTGCAGCAGGCTGAACCCTGAAGCCTGCACCCTTCTTCCTCGAGTCAACCCCATAATGTAAACCTTGCCTTGGAAACCTTTCTGAACTAGACACCCTCCCAAAAACTTCTGGTCTATAGATATTCAAAATGTAAACATTTATAATATAACATGATGATGTCATACTAGTACTATATGAATCACTGAATATAAGAATGACGAAGAAGTCCCATCAACCCTTCTTGCTTCAGGCTTACCCTATCAACTCTACACAGTACCACCGTAAACCCTTTTGCTTCTCCAATGACCAGGATGTCCCCCTATCAACAAGGAGTTTGACATTATACACTATTCCGACTATAAGAAGAGAACTCTTGGCTAAGCCCTAAACCCTAAACCCTAAACCCTAAACCCTAAACCCTAAACCCTAAACCCAACCCTAAACGCTAAGCCCTAAAGCCCTCTTTTGAAGCATGGACTGAGGTGGCAAAAGCCCCAAATCTCCCAAGGCACGGCATCCTCCTCCCTAACCCTAAACCCTAAACCCTAAACCCTAAACCCTAAACCCTAAACCCTAACGCCCTAAAGCTCCCAAGGCACGGCATCCTCCTCCTTGGCTTGACCCGCTTCCCGGAGGGCCTTGGCGTAGGACACCGCCGGCCCGAAGGGCTTCCTCGGAGCAGACTGGCGCTGGGGTTTAGGGTTTAGGGTTTAGGGTTTCGGGTTTAGGGGTTAGGGTTTAGGGTTTAGGGTTTAGGGTTTAGGGTTTAGGGTTTAGGGTTTGGGGTTTAGGGTTTAGGGTTTAGGGTTCTGAAGCTGAGCAACTGTGTGCGAGTGCACAGTGGAGCAGCGCTGGGGTTTAGGGTATCGGGCGCAAGGTTTAGGTCTAACATTGCCATCCTCATCATCATCACATAATAGATATATATATATATATATATTATTATAGTTACATGAATATTTATATTTATGATATTTCTTCCTTGCAGCTGCTGCTCTGTCTTCTCATGCCCGATTCCGGTTCGACGGCTTAGTTTGCTTTGAAAGCTCTTGTACATAGTAAACCCTAAACCCTAAACCCTAAACCCTAAACCCTAAACCCTAAACCCTAAACCCTAAACCCTAAACCCTAAACCCTAAACCCTAAACCCTACAGAAGCTCTGGACTCTTCCTAAATGTAGGAGTCTTGGGATCCTTGGGCGGGGGGGAGGTCCGCTCCTTAGGTTCCCTTTGCAACACCTACAGGGGCCGTGAGTAGCTGCGCTCTAGGGTTTAGGGGGTCTAGGGTTTAGGGTTTGGAGGTTTAGGGTGTAGGGTCAGGGCCAGCCCTGCCCCCAGTTGGCAAAAGGGCTGGCTTCAATGAAGGCTAATCTGCCTTCATGTGTGGTTTTTTGGCTAGTTCAGGGGCATGGCGCTGCCAGTGTTCAGAGCCAGTGTAGCAGTCAAAGATAACAAAAAACATCCAATACATTCACCTTAGAGCCTTAATCAAATCCCACTACTTTTCCCTTACCCTAAGGGTCCATGTACCTAAATAGGGAATACTTAGGCCCCAAAGTCCCTAGATAGGAGGTACTTTAAGGCCCAAGTACTCCCTATTTAGGTACATGGACCCTTAGGGTTAGGTTTAGGCTCCTGCCAAGTAAGGAGGGCAGGGGCTTCGGGTTTCGGGGCGGTCGCAGGTTTCGGGAACCGAGCTTCAAACCCTAAACCCTAAACCCTAAAGCCTAAACCCCAGCTGGAGCCGAGCTTCAGGTAGGATCCATCCGCCTGGCGCTGCGTGAGGCTGCGCTGCTGGTTCGCCTGGCCTTGCTGCCTCATCTGCGATTCCAGGGCGTTTGGGGGGATTTCGGGTTTAGGATTGCGGTTTAGGGCTTAGGGCTTAGAGGGTTTAGAGTTTAGGTGTAGCGTTTAGGGTTTAGGGGTTTGGGAGTGTTTTCTGGCCTCGAGACATGAATTTGGCAGCTTTTTGAACAAACACGCTTGAAGAGATGCGTTGTCGCAACATGGTAGTTTAAGTGGTAGTTCTTCTGAAGGCCTCGGGGACTCGGGGACCATGCTTGACCTTTGCTGCTGAACCCTCGAACCCGGAGAACCCTAAACCCTCAACCCTCAACCCTAAACCCCGGAAGCCCTGCCAATCCTTGGATGAAACGCAGCGCGGACCGAAACTGCCACAGATTTTCACATGGGCCCGCAGCAAGAGCCCTATAGCGCAGCTGAGTCGATGTTGCTGCAAGTCCCTCGGGTTTAGGGTTTAGGGTTTAGGGTTTAGGGTTTGTTGGTCTAGTCTGGGGATGGGATCATGCTGAGAGCCAGCCGGGTTGCGCGGAGCGGCCGAACCCTGCGGAAAGAGACGGGGTGAAGGCCAACCTCCCCATGAAGCACATCACCTCGGATCCATGATGGAGACGGATTTAGGGTTTCGGGCGACCGTAGCATGCGGCCTACCAGGCCTAGTTCCACAACCGAATGGTGTTGACTGTAGTTAGGGAAACAGCAAACACGCCGGTTTCGTGCACAAAGCAACTCGCAACATGACCGAGAAACTGCCACGGAGAGCACTGCCACTCCCATCGTCCGCGCCATGGCTGCTGATCGAAGGCACTAGGAACCGGTGGCGTGGGTTCAATGTGAGGAGGTGAGACTCCTCGAGCAACCGCGGCTTCTCAATGAATGCCACGGGTTAGATAGAAAACGCAAGCTGCAGCGTTCACCGACCTCTGAGACGTAGCTTCACAAGAGATTTTTCCACGACATGCAGCTATCCAGAACAAGGTGGCATGTACTCAGGATGGTCATTCCCCTAACCCCCCTAAACCCTGAACCTCCCAAACCCGAAACCCTAAACCCCCCAAACCCTGAACCCTAAACCCTGAACCCTAAAGATCAAAAGCCCTTCTGGCACCGGTAGTTCGGAGGGTTAGGAAGCACCGGCTTCAGCGCGGCGCCTCCCAGTCAGCCGCCAGCCCGTCCCCGGGCGGAAGGCCCGGAGGAAGGCGTGAAAACCTGGGGGGGGGGGGGGGGGGGGGGCACCATCACTTGGGGTTTAGGGTTTAGGGTTGTTCAGGGGTGGGGGGGGCCCTTGTGTATATTATCATATAGCTTGGGCCCCAAAGTCCCCATGCACGAAGTTTAAATGGATCTATTAGGGTGCACCTTTTGCAAGAGGATGCCTATATGAGATGGACGCCCCAAAAGACATTCCCCAAAACCCAAAACCCAAAACCCAAAACCCTGAACCCTCAACCCTGAACCCTGAACCCTGAACCCTAGACCCTAGACCCTAGACCCTAGACCCTAGACCCTAAACCCTAAACCCTAAACCCTAAACCCTAAACCCTAAGCCTAAACCCTAAACCCTAAGCCCTACCACCCAGAGACTGGGGAGCCCCTTCATGAAGGAAGCTATTCCTTATGCTCCGAAAATACATCTAGAAGTTTAGGGTTTAGGGTTTAGGGTTTAGGGTTTAGGGTTTAGGGTTTAGGGCAACCAGGAGCCCAAGATGATGTAACTTTAAGGAAATCGGCTGCCTAGCTTTTAAAAGGGCACCCGAGCCCCTCGGAGCTCTGAGCCCGAGGCTTGTGCTGCTGATGAGCCCCTCTGCCAGAGACATCCGGTCAAAAAGCTGAGAGCCAACATGCCGGCATGGGTTCAGGGTTTATGAGTTACAGGGGTTTAGGGGTTAGGGTTTAGGGGTTAGCAGGGGTTTAGGGTTTAGGGTTTAGGGTTTCTAAGGGTTTAGGCTTTAGGGCTTGTGTTTAGCAGCCGCGATTCTGGTACGATGACGGTCGGAAGTAAAGTCGAGGTTCAGGCTCCAAGTGTATCTGTGCTTATGCGCGGTTCTAAGTAGACTGAGAATTGGGGTTGTGTAAGTACCTAATGACCTCCAAGTAAGCCCTAAAACCTAACCCCTAGGTTGCAACCACTGAACTCCAAGAAGAAAGTTAAGTTTGGGAGATGCCAGGGGCGAAGTGCTTCGCAGCCATTCAATCCATGTTCTCGTGGGGGGCATAAACAAGCTCCCAGATCACGCCTACCATCAAGCTGACACATGGCGGCCCACTGCGACACGGAAACCCTCACGCCCAAACCCTTCTTACCCACAAGACCGAAATTCAAAACAACCCGAAACCCTAAACCCTAAACCCTAAAACCCGGAAACCCGAAAACCTTAAAACCCTACGTAAGCCTTTAAACCCTAAAGCCCGTAAACCCGAAGACGTTAAACAAAACCAACAACCAACAGAGGGAGCCAAGGGTTTAGGGTTTAGGGTTTAGGGTTTAGGGGCTTCAAGGAGGACACGCCTGTCCACTGCACTTGCACTCTGCGGTACCAAAAAAACCCTGCCTGCTCAAATAGGGGTTTAGGGTTTAGGGTTTAGGGGATCCGAAGTATGGGCCCTTAATTTCGGTCCCCTGTTATATAGCCCTTACATACCACTGTGCTACCACCATACATGACAAGGGCGCATATTCCGGATCCCTTGAAAATGCCCTTACACAAGGTTAAGGGACCATACTAAGGGACCATTGGTTCCAACCTTAAGAGGGTTGCAGGGTCTGAGGTTCCTGGAGAGGTTTGGAATTTTTTTTGTAGGTTGGAACCCCCTTTTTCGGATTTGCCCCTTGTCCTTGTGACACAAAGCCCCCTAAACCACAACAAAGCTTGCACACGAAACCCAAGCCCCAAACCCCATAACCCTGTTTTTTGCATCCGGGCTATGATGTCCTGGCCGGAAACCCTAAACCCACAAGCCCTCCGTCGCAGACATTTCTCCTGCCCGCCCGCATCGGTGCTGCTGGCTGGGCCAATGCCATAGCCCAAGAGCCGCGTCTCCCTTAGTCCGGTTGACAGGCTTGTTAAGGTTAACGTCGGGTCTAGGGTTTAGGGTTTAGGGTTTAGGGTTTAGGGTTTAGGGGCTTGTTAAGGTTCCTTGGTACCCCAGTAACCATATTATAAGAAGGGCACCCTCTTTTGGTTGCTTAATTTTCTAAGGGGACCTTGAAGCCAAAAAAAGGGAAAAGGGTACACCACTGGGCTACCAAGGTTAACGTAACTTTATATACATATATATATATATATTCATTTTTCATTCACCGCCTCTCTGAAGTGTTGGCTCCACGGGCGAGCGGAGGGTCCTTGCCCCGAGTAGAATTTGTAATGCTGGTGCTGCTGTCTCGCACCACATGCGCGGCTTGCACGAGCACGGCCTCAAAATGCCAAACGCAATGCACAACAGAGCGTTGATGCAGCACTGCGCCTCGCATACGAGGGCCTGCCTATGTGTCAAAATGCAGTGCTGTGACTGCGCTCACTGATTAAAGATTGGGAATGACCCTACTCAAGTAGAGCATCAAGTATGGCTTGGATTTCCCGCTCACTGCCAGACCTTGGCGCTACCCCACGCTTGAGCTGCGCTCCCACGCCTTGCAGTCCCTTGATAACGACTTCGTGTACATCATGAAGTTGGTGCTGCACGCACAAAGTCAACCGCATGCGCTTTGGATCGAAGCACTTGCGACACTTGGCAACCAGCACGAGAGGCTCCAGCGCCTTGGCACTGGTAGCAGAAGCAATGTGGGCTTCAAGCTTTTGCTTGTCCTCAGAGCTCACGTGATGAGACTCCATGAGCTGCATCACCATTGCCATCCACGCGTGCACATGCGGCTCTCCCAAAGCCTCACACTCACGCTGTTTGCCTGCCTTGCGCAGCTCAGCTGCCTGCGTGTTGTGACCTTGCGTTGCTGTAGACATTGCACTCACTACGGCCGTGTCCTTCGGGATCAAAAGCGTAGTCAGTACCGCGCTTTGCAGTTCACGAATGTCTGCCGCGTGCTTCAAGACTGACTTGGCCAACAAAATTGTTAGCTTGCGCTGATTGTCTGCCGCCAGTGCCCCAGCTGGTGGGTCCACCCTCTGTCGCCTGGCGGGGGGGGCTTCGCCCTGACCGCCGGATCCAATCAGCCAGGCTGGCGCAGACATGACGCTTACAAGCTTAGTCGGCTGGGACTTGAGGTTGTTGCCTTTGTCTGGCAAAAAAGGCTGCAGGCGAATCATGACCACACATGTGTTGCAGCAAGTTGTCCAGAGAATCACAGTGCACGTCACAAGCTGGGCATGCCAAAGAACGAGGTTCTTCCAGTGCTGGATTGACACAAGACCCTCGACCTGTGCAACGCCCTTTCTCGAAGGCACGTTTAATATGATGGCTGGCTGACACGCGAGACGCAAACTTACATCTGCACCAGGGACAAATGTTTGACACGCAGGCCAACGCAAAAAAAGGTCTTTCGCCATGTTCTCCCCCTTTTGTTTGTACCATGTGTGTATACAATTGTGAGTACCTCGGAAAAGTCTTGTTGCAAACTGTACCATCCGCACATTTGCGAAGACACGTAAATGACCGTTCTTGCGCAGGAAGAAGCAACGCGTCTTCGACTTCCTGTGGAGGCGCCACCCATCCCGGAGGTGGGACAGCATGACCCAGAAACTGTGCTCTAAATTCAGTAACGTCGACGCGAACGAAATCTTCTCGATATTCAGTGAACAACAAAGTGAGGCGACCACGCAACTCTGTAACCAAAAGAGAGCCTGAGTCCAGACACGCAAGACTCTGCACATCATCTGCCAACTGTCGCAACCAGGGATTTGCATATGCGGTGGGCTTGCCTTCTGCATCAACCGAAGCCGACGTTTCGAAATCAAACTGGGAAAAAAGACAACCCAAAAGAACTGCATGAAGTTCAGAATGAAGGGCCACATTTTGCCAAAATCGCAGTCTACGCAGCCGCAACTCAATGTGTGCAGGAACCATTTGCAGGAAGCGCCACACTGACAACGCAGGAAGCGCCTGGTACGTAATTTGGCCATCGCTCGCGAACTTCTGGCACGCAGTACCATGCATGAGTTGCCTACCCCGTCTGAGAACGTAGGTGTCCAATCTCTCCAACTGTGATTTTGACAGGCAAAGAGCTTCCAGGCCTGACAACAGTGTACTGTAGACCAAGCCTTTGAAAACCAAAACCAGTGAAGCACGAAGCAGCCCATTGCGGAACCAGAACTTGCCCATGGAAAACCAACCGACGTCTGCTTTTCGCAAGCGCTGATCAATTTCAGCATTGTCGTTGCAAGTGGCATGATGAAGGCTCCCCAAATATTTAGCTGCCTGTTTTGTGCGACCTGGCAACACTGCTTGATGAAACACCAACCTGGTATGCGATAGAGCATGTGAGCGGACAAAACACGGGACATGTTCCTGCTTATCCAAGTTCTGCGCAACACCGAGTGGCTCAAGAACATCACACAATTCTTGATTCGCACGATGCAAACGCGCTGCCAAATCATGTGGAGTGGAACACAACACTGTGCGAGCCAAATCATCTGCGTATGAAGAAATAGATGCATCCACAAACATGTTGCCAATTTGATCCCAGACGACCAAGTCTGACCCTTCCACATTGCTGAGCCGCTGCACCCATTCGTCCAAAGCAGGATGATACTGTTCCAGAAACTGCTCGCCAGCATGAGAATCCCCTTGCAATGATCCCGACCCAGTGGCAATGAAGACAACCCTGTCAGAAGCCA